AGGGAACCCTTGTATCCTTTTGTTGGCAATGTAACTTAGTACATCCATTATGGAAAATGGTATGGAGGCTCCTCAAAAAATTAAAAATAGAAATACCATATAACCCAACAATTTCCCTACTGTGTACTTAACCCAAAGAAAACAAAATCACTATTCCAAAAGGTATATGCCCTATGTTTATTGCAGCATTATTTGCAATAGTTTTGAGTTATTGTAGCTGTTTATAATAGAGCACATATTATAGTACAGCTATTATATTTATTAGACACTATAAATCTACTTCCATTATTTTTAACATGCATAATTGTTAATTAAAACACATGTGCGTGTACAATGTCAATAAATATTGATTCTCTTCTATCTGCTTAAGATACTCTTCAAGGCGCAGGACACCAACAGGCCTGTGACCACAAAGCATGTCTGAAGTAATATCTTCAACTGAGCAACAGAGAGGCAACAGAGGTAATATAAAATAATATAGAATGTCAAACAAAACTATAGAAGTAACAATAGCTAATATATATACTGAGCGCATATCACACACTGGCACTTGGCCTAACATGATACCATTATCTCCATTTCCATCTAGGGTCACTAAATATGTGGCTCTAAAGGCTGTGGTCTGAACTGCACTCTCATGCCTCGAAAGAGGTAACATCCTCGATCAAGAATCACAATGGCCTGTCAAAACTTTCTCAGCCAAATCAAGTGACAGTGGTGGAAGAAGAGAAAGAGCACAGGTCTCCAGCAAACTTACCCTCCTGCTTGGGCAGTCTAATTATACATTAATTACATCAAGTAAATACAATCTTAATAAAATGTATGAAAGTTTTTATTATTACTGTATCATTCTCTGAAAACAATCAAATGTTTCAATGATTTCAATATTGAACCCCTTTTAGAATAATAGAGGCAAACCTTAACAGGTTAAAAAGACAAAGAAAGAATCACTGTATTTTCTTTCAGCAGACACATTAAGTATTTCTTTAGAATAAAGTAACTCAGTAAAAAGAGCACACTGTCTTTTTACACACCTATTTATTCATCTACTCATCTAATCAGTTTAGTGTCCCTAAAAATGATGTGAATACTATTTAATTTACTAGTCATGTTGGCTATGGAAATTACTACTTAACATGATTGCCTCTGGATAAAAAACAAACAGGTGGGGAAAAATCATTTAATAAGGTCGCTTCACTCTTCTGAAGTCAAACTATCAAAAATATGTCTAGTTTAGTAAATTATGCAATTGAGCAAAGATTCTATGAAGTATTCCAAGTATCTTTAAAAAATACTAAATGCCATGCATTCTTTAAGTAATATACCCATGTAGGCTTTACAAAGCTTAGGAAAAGGTTAGCATTTTAAATGTTACTCACCCATTTCAAATGCTCCTGTATTTTAGATCCCACATCCTCAATGTGTGAAATCATTTTGTTGACACATGGTGCTGGGATGTTCACTAAATTTTAAGACTTTCAAAATGCACTCACTTTTCTTTTGTCCCAGGGGCGCCAGCTGTGGGAACCCACTCACAGGTTTTACTGTCCTGTTTCCCTAGTATCCAGCACATCACACACTGTGTGTCTCGCTCCTGGTGCTAATGACTAGGGCTGGATATTTAGCAGTCCTGGGCTCCCTCTCCCTCCCTGCTCTGACTCCTCTCCTCCCACCAGGGAGCTGGGCTGGGGGGCACGCTTGGGTTCCTCTGGGCCGTGGCTTGTATCTTACCCCCTTAGTTTGGTGCTGGGTTCTCATAGATGTAGATGTAGCCTGGCTGTTGTACTGTATCTTCTGGTCTCTCTTTTAGGAATAGTTGTATTTGTTATATTTTTAAAAATATATATGGTTTTGGGTGGAGATTTCCGCTGTCCTACTCATGCCGCCATCTTGGCTCCTCCCCAGACCTGACATGATTTTAAAAATTATTCCTGAACCCATTCATGCAAAAGTTATCCACTCAGTGCCTGTAATGTGCCAAATTCTGGTATGTGCTATGGTTAGCATAGAAATATATATAGACTCTAACTTCAAGATCTTGTAATCTTGTAGGAGAGGAAGAGCCATCAGAAACAACTAAAACACAATGTGCTGATTGCCACACTTGTGGTCAGGACAATGCACTGTGAGACTTCCAGGGAAGAGCTATGCTAAGCTTTGGAGGGTAAAGGTGGTTTTGTGGGAAGCAGCAAAGGTTAAACAGAAGAGTGGAAATGCATGGGTTGTGTCCAGAGGTAAGAGAGTAATCAAAGCTGGAGCAGAGTATTTCACGGGACAGAAAGCTTAAGAGTAAATATTATTCTATAAAAGGACTTTTACATCATGCCAAGGAGTATGAATATGAATTGCTGTGACAAGAAAGATTCCAAGGAGGATTTTAAGCATACTATTAGGAATAACATACACAGAAAAGATGGCCCGTGGCCTGTTTTATAAAGGATGGGTGGGAGGAGAAAATAACTGGAAGAGGAGCTAGAGGAGGAAATGGAAGAACTCCCACAGCGACCCAGGCAAAATGAGAGTGGCCTGCACGAGACTCCACAGTACGGACAGAGAGAACTGTTGCTGTCTGAGGTATGTTCCAGAGGTAGAATCCAAACAAATTAGTGATTGTGTATAAAGGCTGAGGAAAAATGTGTGTCAGTATAATTTACCAGCTTTCTGGCTCTGCTGGGTGAATAATATGCCCCCACTGCACCTGGGAGCACAGAAGGAAGAAGAAATGACTAGTTCGACTTTGTGTATTTTGAATTTGAGGTGCTTCAAGGACATATATCAAAAGATATTCAGTAGGCACTGAGTATATGGATCTTAGGAAAAAAGTGATATATGAGCTGAAAATCTCAATTTAGTATAAGCATATAGTATATAAATGACATACATTAAAATGGTATAAAAATAAGTCACATAGGTCAATGGAACAGAATAGAGAGCCCAGAAATAAACCCATACTTATATGGTCAAAATTAATATATGACAAAGGAGGCAAGAATGTAAAGAAAAAAAACAATTTCTTCAGTAAATGATATTGGAAAACCTGGTCAGCTACCTGCAAAAGAATGAGCTGGACTACTGTCTTATACCATACAAAAAGAAAATAAACTCAAAATGGGTTAAAGACCATTAAATTAAAATGTAACACTTGAAACCATGTAACTAATAAAAAATACAGTCAGTAAAAACTTGAACATTGGCATTTGCAATCTTTTCCTGGATATGTCTCTCAAGGCAAGGGAAACAAAAGCAAAAATAATCAAGTGGGACTCTATTAAACTAAAAACTTCTGCACAGCAAATGACACCATCAACAAAACCTTGTGAATGGGAGAAAACATTTGCAAATATATACCTGATAAGAGTTTAATATCCAAAATACATAAAGAATTCATATATCTCAACACCAAAAAAACAAAAAATCTGATTAAAAATGGGCAGAGGACCTGGATAGACAGTTTTCTGAGGACATACAGGAGGCCACAGACACATGAAAAGATGCTTAACATCACTGATCAGGGAAACTCGAATAAAATCACAGTGAGATATCACCACAATGAGATGTCAGTCAGAATAGCTAGTATCAAAAAGATAAGGAATAACAAGTGTTGATGAGGGTATGGAGAAAAGGGAACCCTTGTATCCTTTTGTTGGCAATGTAACTTAGTACATCCATTATGGAAAATGGTATGGAGGCTCCTCAAAAAATTAAAAATAGAAATACCATATAACCCAACAATTTCCCTACTGTGTACTTAACCCAAAGAAAACAAAATCACTATTCCAAAAGGTATATGCCCTATGTTTATTGCAGCATTATTTGCAATAGTTTTGAGTTATTGTAGCTGTTTATAATAGAGCACATATTATAGTACAGCTATTATATTTATTAGACACTATAAATCTACTTCCATTATTTTTAACATGCATAATTGTTAATTAAAACACATGCGCGTGTACAATGTCAATAAATATTGATTCTCTTCTATCTGCTTAAGATACTCTTCAAGGCGCAGGACACCAACAGGCCTGTGACCACAAAGCATGTCTGAAGTAATATCTTCAACTGAGCAACAGAGAGGCAACAGAGGTAATATAAAATAATATAGAATGTCAAACAAAACTATAGAAGTAACAATAGCTAATATATATACTGAGCGCATATCACACACTGGCACTTGGCCTAACATGATACCATTATCTCCATTTCCATCTAGGGTCACTAAATATGTGGCTCTAAAGGCTGTGGTCTGAACTGCACTCTCATGCCTCGAAAGAGGTAACATCCTCGATCAAGAATCACAATGGCCTGTCAAAACTTTCTCAGCCAAATCAAGTGACAGTGGTGGAAGAAGAGAAAGAGCACAGGTCTCCAGCAAACTTACCCTCCTGCTTGGGCAGTCTAATTATACATTAATTACATCAAGTAAATACAATCTTAATAAAATGTATGAAAGTTTTTATTATTACTGTATCATTCTCTGAAAACAATCAAATGTTTCAATGATTTCAATATTGAACCCCTTTTAGAATAATAGAGGCAAACCTTAACAGGTTAAAAAGACAAAGAAAGAATCACTGTATTTTCTTTCAGCAGACACATTAAGTATTTCTTTAGAATAAAGTAACTCAGTAAAAAGAGCACACTGTCTTTTTACACACCTATTTATTCATCTACTCATCTAATCAGTTTAGTGTCCCTAAAAATGATGTGAATACTATTTAATTTACTAGTCATGTTGGCTATGGAAATTACTACTTAACATGATTGCCTCTGGATAAAAAACAAACAGGTGGGGAAAAATCATTTAATAAGGTCGCTTCACTCTTCTGAAGTCAAACTATCAAAAATATGTCTAGTTTAGTAAATTATGCAATTGAGCAAAGATTCTATGAAGTATTCCAAGTATCTTTAAAAAATACTAAATGCCGTGGATTCTTTAAGTAATATACCCATGTAGGCTTTACAAAGCTTAGGAAAAGGTTAGCATTTTAAATGTTACTCACCCATTTCAAATGCTCCTGTATTTTAGATCCCACATCCTCAATGTGTGAAATCATTTTGTTGACACATGGTGCTGGGATGTTCACTAAAGCACAGCTTTGACGTCGACATGGGTAGCTAAAAAAAATGCTTTTATTCACCCCTAAAGATAGGGCAGACAGAAGAAGTCAGTTAGCAGTTATATAAGAGTAGTGAACTTTGATGTTCATAATATGCAAAGTATTCTGCTTTATTAATATTAATACTCTTAAAATTTCCATAATAAACAGACCGATATCTGTCAGAAATTACAGAATGAACACTCAAGAAATCTAAAAAATAAATAATCATTTGCAACTTAAAATGTAACAAATAAAAATGAACTTTAAAGCAAGAATACTTCAAACTTAAAAAGTTAAATGTTCCATGGCATCATGAACTAAACACTGAAAAAAGAACATCAATTAATTTGCTTCTAAGCAGATACTGAATCACTTAAAAAAGACTGAAATACATTTTACATTCTTTCTTCAAAGGTATTCCATATCTCCCGATGTAAGCCACATGCTATCACTCATACACTGAAGACGTTTCCCCTTAAACCCAGCACGAGTTTCTTTTGCCGAAAAGAATGAAAGCAGGTCCCCTTCATCCTTATAATCACCTCATTTTCTATCTTCCCTTTCTGGAAATTGGAGTCTCATGCAAAGAGTGATTGATGCCCTCAACGACGGCATTCAAGCTGTACTCATCATGAAGCGCATAAGTCCGATGTGCCTCAGTAACTCTAACCCTGCCATGTCGCGAATCAACTCAAGGTTGCAGAAACACAGCAAAGCTGTCCACAGGACCCCACCAAAGGGCTCACTTGCAGTCCTTTTACCTCTAAGGACTCTATCAGGCTGGATTACAGCTGCAATCACTGGTCTTAAATGTAAGACACAAAAGAGGCTCAGTGCCTCAATAAGAATGGCATGACGTTCTCATTTCAGACGACCTTGAGGAGCACAGAATTAATGCCCTGCCTAGTTCAATGCCAACCCGGAGAAATGGTAAATATCTCAGATATCTTCATTTAAACAGAAATCTTTTAAATATCTCTTAAACAATGTCTCATAATATCCTCATCTGAAAACACGATCACTGAAAATGGCGTTATCTGTTTCATTTACAAATAAAAGTGTTTATCCCATAAATATGAATACAGACATATTCTAACATTTTTTGAGCAGTAAAAATATGTGCTAAACTTGGGGCCGAGCTGCAAGTACTTTTGATTCTACATTTCATTCAAATCTTACAATGATCATATGAAATGGATGACCTGGATTTCAAAGATGAGGGAAGGAAAGGCTTAGAGAAACTGTACTACATGCCCAGTTCCACAGCACAGGTGGGAGAGCTCGGACTTGCACTCCCTGTATATGAAGTATAAGCTATACTGTGAAGGTGGTTTTCACATTTTTTAAAATGTGGTTAAAGAAATCCTAAAAACAGACTTCAGGGTACCTCAACTGTTTCAGATACTCCCTATTTTTGATATGTTCCCTCAAGATATCAGTGCCGATATTCTAATGTATTGGTTTGCTTTGGCCATACTGAACGCCCTTATACTTGCTGTGAGTATTTTCTGTGTGTTTTATTACATCTTTCCTCTTTAGTTCATATACAGATTTATCATTTCATCTCTGCAGGAGTCTTTGAACCAAAGAACAGGCTGGTGAAAATTACATATTGGTCTCTTATCCAAATATCTTCCTTAAGGCATTTGCCCCTCCCTCTAGAAATAGGAAAGTTTTAAAACACATTTAACAACCAGGCAATTGCCCTTATACTCAAAACAACAGTTTTGCTTTATTAAAAGTGGGGAAGACAAGAATAATAATTACTCATCTAACATTTTTCACATTTGCTCTCAACCTATTATGTAAATACTAATAAACTTCCATAGCACCCCTATAGTTTAGGATTAATGTTTTACATATGGTAAAGTGAGAAAATGAAATACTATGAAGTTAAATTTGCACTATAAGTTATAAAAGATACAGCTTCATAAGTAGCCCCCATAGACGCAGAATTCAGGAGTTCTTGTTACTGTTTTTATTCTAATGCATGCATAGCAAATTTCCACTTTTCAATTCTGCTCAGCTAAAGAGACACCTGGATCATTAAACTAGGTGCCCAAGTTCATTCACTTTTTGACTAGACTTGATAACTAATAGTTTCTAAAGCTGAATTACTCAGTCTCTAATGTCAGGTTTCTCACTTAATAAATGAATGGGTTGGGGGTGTTATATTCCACCTTTTCACAAAATTCTGTGATATGATGAATTGACAGCTGTACTCAAACAAATTGACAAAGCTCCCCCTTCTGAAGCCTGTGTACTAAAGAATTAGCTCAGGCAGGACTCACCTCCTCTCTAAACATTTGCCTAATTCCAATTTACTTGTTTAGAATCAACACCTAAAAGGTAAGATCCTCCAGGATACAGGCCAAAGTTGATGGTTGTTGAGACTGCAACACGAAACTTACATCTGAGGAAAAATATGGACTAGCTGACTGTGTGAGCCTATGAAATCAAATACCATGTTCATAAACTGTCACCTGTCCTTGCTTAGTGAATGTGATCCTTGCAAAATTTATTTACCCAGCCACAAAATTTAACATTTTACTACTGCCATCCTTCCTTCTCTTCTGATTTTAATATGTGCTTCCTTTATGTCCATCTCTCAGTTATTGCATCATTGCTTTATCTGAAATCAGCACTCTGAGGAGAAACCTTTTTTCATATTGCTGTCCATTTTAACATCTTGATTTTCTTTCCAAAAATGTAGAATAAGTTAGTGCCCATGAGTTTAGAAATAATTTCTCCTCCTTGCAAAGCCTATGTGTGATGAACAGAAACTACCTTTAATTTTTTTAATGGAATCAAAGCTTCCTTTAGTTTCTCTTAACACTTAGGGCAGATGAGCCCTTTCCCTGACATTTACATTGACACTCACATTGTTGAAGACACTTATCACTAAAATATAAAGCAATATGCATTGGAGTTGGAGATGAGATTGCATCTACTCTAATCACTTTCACTGTACAAATGCCCCTGGTCAGTGTTCACTTATCGTCATTACCTACAGTCTCTTCAAAATCTGCAATTTCAGTATTAGAGTTGCTTCCCGTAAGTAATCACAGGTCACCCTACTACTTTTACCTGATCACTTCCTGTTGCTATTTTCCTATTTGAAATTTTGCTTTGACTAGCAATTTTTTTTCAAAGGAGCAACCTATATGAGCAGTCATGATACCCTTATAGCCTGATCTCTTCAAATTGCAATTTCTACGCAAATATTAACATCTGCTTGGATGGCTCCTTCCCTATGAGGAATTCTTGACTCTTTCAGACATCTGGTTGTGCCTGGAGCATTTTCTGTTTCTCTTTATTGGAACTTATTACACTGCTTTCTGATGGGTCAGATTTATGTGTTTCCCATTTCTCTTCCCCATACGGTTTTGCATTCTTATGGAGAGAAATTGTTTAGTGCCTTAAAAAATTGTTGAATAAATGAAAGAATGGATAAATACTGTAACCTGGCTTCTGTTCTCTCAATTTTATGAAACTTTCATTTGTTAACACACTAATCAGTATTTCTATTACCATCCATGAAGGAGTAACTGATACAGAATAACTCCTCCAGTGATAACCAACTCTAAATCTGGAAAAAACATATGAGACAACTGTTTTCAGAAACTGGAAAAAAGGAATGTAAGACTTTGATTCCTGAGAAAGGGTAATTCATGAGGCTGAGTCTCATAATCCCCAAGCTCTGCCAAGGGATAATTTCTCAACTGGGATGTAGAGACCTAGGGATGGAGCAGAGCATGGAAGTCCTGCTGAACTCAGGAGCAACTTTAGTGTAATGGACGGTGGAAGTATCTGGAATCTATAGTAGAGGAACTGAAGAAGACACAGCAGTGCTGAGAAGGGCTCCCAGAAATCCATGTGGAGTGCCCCCTGAATCTGTAGGCAACGGCTACACAGAGTATGTACAGAGATCAGAACCTCCTTTAGATTAACAGAGAGCAGATGCTGTGGAATTCAGAAGGGAACAGAAATGCCAGAAATGCTGAATGCCATTGGTGAAAGTACCTGGAGGGATAGGGAGAAAACCCTGGAGGTCCAGCCAACACAATGCTGAGATTTTGTCAACACTTTAATAATACTGACCTTTAGCTGAGACACCAGAGAGGTCACATTTTAGGAGTAAGGACTGCACATTGGAGTAAGACCTCTTCTCAATCCACCCGTAGAAAATTTAAAATCAAGCTATGACAGAATTGCAGAGGAGACAGAATCCAGCCAAATAGAGAGAATTGGAAAATTCCTTGATTTTTTAAATACATTTGTAATAAAACCAAGTATATGCCAGTTCAGGTTGATCAAATGGTAACAGCTGCTTTCTAGAAAAAGAATCAATTCTCTTTAGAGAAAGATAACAGAACCCAGAATCTCTGGATCAATGTCTAGTTCTGAATCATTAAAGAAACAGGAAATGTATTTTAATCATCTAGAAAAAGAAAGTCAGTAGAAACTTAACCCAAGATGGCCCAGAAGTTGTATATAGCAAAGATTTTGAAGTAGCTGTCATAAATTATGTTCAAAAACGTAAAGCAAAAACAAAAAAAAAATCTTAGTAAGTCTTAGGGAATCTCAGTGCAGAAATTGAAACTATGAAAAAGAAACAAAATCTAGAACTTTAAAGTATGAAAATTTAAATTTAAAAAAAGTATATTGGTTGGGCTTAGCAACAAATTGGACATGGCACAACAGTCAGTGAATGAGTAGATGAATTGATAGAAATTATCTGACCTGGAGAATAAAGCCAGAAAAAAGAACCAATCTTCCAGAAACTGTGGAACAAAAATCAAACAGTCTAGCATGTGTGAAGTTTTAACACAAGTAAAAAAATCAGAGTGAAATTTGGAGTTATAAATACTGTAGAAAAGGCCAAAATATCTCAATATTTGATGGAAAACAATGACTTACACATCTGAGAAGCCTGCCAAATCCCAAATAAAAGTAAAAAGAGAACTACATCTGGGAACATTACAGTCAAGTTGCTGTGACCAATAGTAACAAGGAAATCTTTACAGCAGCCAGAGGACAAAAGGGCACATTGCATATAATGCAGGCCAGAACACAATAGGAAAATATCTTTAAAATGCAGGCAGGCAGGAGAGAGAGACAAGCAACACGGAGAGGGAGGGAAGGAGGCATGGGAGGAGAACCATTAAAGAAAAAAATAGTAAGACTTTGTCAAAGCCAAAACACTCTTTCTCAAAAAGGCAATACAATAAATAAAAAGACAAGCAAAAGAATGGAAGAATGAATATATACATGTATCTCCAACAAATGTCTAGTATCTAGAATGTGTAGAAAAAATTTGCAACTTACTATACAGGAAAACAAACAACTCAATAAAAATCTGCCTAAGACATGGACTTCTCTCAAAGACAATACACAATGACCAATAAACATGTAAAAGATGCCCAACATCAGGAATCATCAGGAAAATGCAAATTTAGCCCACAGTGCAGTACCACTTCACAATCACTACAATGCCTACAATTAAAAGGTTGGCAAAGACTGTATTAGGATATAGAATGACTGAAACTCATACAGTGCTGGTGGAAATGTGAAACACTTTTGGAAAACAGATAGGCAGTTTCTTATAAAAGTTAAGCATACATTTGTCATATGACAGAATTCCACTAATATGTATTTACCCCAAAAATAAAGATATGTCCATAAAAAGACTTGGGTGATTCATGACAGCTTTACTCATAATAGCCAAAAATTAGAAAATCTCAAATTTTCATCTATGGCTGACTAGATAAACTGTATGTTGTTCATATAAAGGAATACTACTGAGCAATAAAAATGGACTAACTACTGATATATTCAATAACATGATTAATCTCACAGACCTTTCCTGAGTCTTTGAAAGAAGCTGGACACTAAATACTACAAATAGAATAATTCCATTTATTTGAGATTTTAGATGGTAAAGCTAAAATTCCTATTCGTGAATATGGGGAATAGGGTAGAGTAATATTGACTACAAAGGGCATGATTTAGCTTTTTGCAAAGATGGAAGATTCTAAAGATGGTGGTAGGTGGATGTGTGCATCTGTCAAGTCACCGACCTGTATACTTGAAATGGGTGGATTTTATTGCTCTTAAAGTTTACCTCAATAAATATGTTTTACAGAATGATCTCTAACCATTCCCTAGTAACAGAAATCAGAAACTTCCCATCATCCTTCTCTATTTATATCACAAAACACAGTACATAACACCTCCTTAAAATTTTAATAGCTTTTCTCATTTCTTAATTACTGTTTCTTCTCATTTTCCTTAATCATTACTACTTGGTAAGACCTGCTCTTCTCCCTCTGTATTCTATCTTTTCCTCATCTCCTCTAAGTGCTTGACTCCCAACTAAACACCTTTAGACTTAACTTTATCCTGAAATCCTTGCCGAATGTACAAATTTTCCAAAACCTGTCCTTCCTAGAGCCCAATCCTAGAGCTCAATGTATGTATGTAGGGAAGGGAAGTTTGGACTGGCAGGATCCTATTCAGGATGGGAGGATGAGAGTTAAAATTAAAATGTATCCATTGAGAAGTTGACCTACCACAAACAAGTAAATAAAGAAATTCATGACATAAATAAATTAAAATGCTGAAGCTAGAAAGGCTCCTGAGAAAAGGAACACATTCAGTAATATACTAGTATGATTAGACATAGAGCTGGAAAAGACAAGGGAGTATACAGAGAGAGCTCCCAGCAGTGAGAATGTTGCCTGGCACAGGAGTGATACTTAGTAACAATTTGGCAAGAAAAAAAGATTAGAGGAAAGATATAACAAGATAAAACTTTTGGCTATAGCCCCTCTAACCTTTTGGTATTAACATTTGGACTGTCAAGGCAAGTGAGCCAGGAGTAATCTTCAAGGGACCAAACCTATTTACAAATCCAGGATCTCTAAAATTAACTTATCTTCATTGCACTCAACCTCCTTTCCCTGTTCCCAGTATCAAAGTTTGCAACACTTTAATCACTATTGAATTATCTTTTCATTCCACGTCCTAGAGATAAACATACCTAGCCACTTTATCAAATCTTAACAATTCCTTTGTATTGTCTCTTTAACCCCTACTTTTCATTTCCATTGACCCTTTATAGATCAAGCCCTTATTACCTCAAACCTGGACTGTAATGATAAAGTAATCAGCTTGTATATTTCTTCCTATAGCCAAAGAATTCTGCATAGCACACTCAGACTCATATTTCCAAGCAAAGGGTTTGGTTGTACTCAAATATGTATATGGGGCCAGAAACTGAGAAATAAATTTCACACTATTGAGCCTGAAATTAAAATGCTTCTAGACTGTACCTGAATCATTTCTAGTTTTATTTTAACCAATTATCTTTACATTTCTGAAGCTTCCCTATGCTATAGGCTAAGTAATCTACTTTTTCCATATTTTGTGCTATTATTTTCACCGTTATTTAACTCATTCTGTTCTTGCTTAAATTCCTTGCTCACCTTCATTGCATATACAAATGCATCCTTCAAGATTCAATTCAAATCTGTCTTCTTCTATAAACAGTTCTCTTAATGCTTAGAGACCAGCCAATCTGGCATTACTCAAAACACTGAGTACACTTGTCTGTAGTATTCATTTGTTATATACTACTATGATACTAATTATAGGAAATATATATTTGGTTTTCATCTCATTTTTGGTACAGAGCTCCTAAAACCCTTGGTAATTCCCTAAATGATGAGAGCAATAAAAGTGTCCTTTGTTATGTTAATGAGGTTGCTTTCAGCCCTCACTTAAGGACAGGGGCCAGTTGCCAGAACTAACCACAGGAATACAGATTTGGAACTTCAATCCCATTCCCAGACCAATGGGAGAGGAGAGGGCCTGAAGGTGGGTTCAACTATCAGTGGCCAATGATTTAATCAATCAGGCCTGCACAATGAAGCCTCCATAAAAACACAAAAGGACAGGGTTCAGGGAGCTTCTGGGTAACACCTGGATATTTGGGAAGAGTGGCAAGCTAAAAAATGGCACGGGAGCTCTGCACACATTCCCCATACCTTGCCCTACCTATCTCTTCTATCTGGCTATTCCTGAGTTATATCCTTTTATAATAAATTGGTAATTTAATACACTGCGAGCTGCTTTAGCACACAGATCTGAATCCAAGGAAGGGCCGTTCACTGGAACCTCCAATTTACAAAGGCCAGTCAGAAACACGGATGATAACCTGGGCTTTCAGCTGGCACTGGGGTGGAGAGGGTGGTCTTGCAGAACTAATAAGCCCTTGAGATGTAGGATCTAATGTTATGTCCAGGTAGATGGTGTCAGAATTGAACTGAGTTGTTGGACACCCCACTGGTGTGCAAGGACTACTTGGTGGTGGGGAAACCCCAGGCCCACACGGAACTGGCCATAGAATCTTTAACTACCTTGTGTTATCTCTGCTCTTACTCTACACAGCCATTTTTTCTGCTATATATACTAACTTGTATATAGTTATATTGTATATGGCCTGCAAAATTATATACTCCATATAACGATCATTGCTTAAGTAGCTCTGTCCCTAGAGCATATGTATATTCTAGTGTCTTGAAGGAACTGGTTCATAAATCATTTGATATTTAAAAATATCTGTCCAAAAAACAACTATTGCCTATAATTAAAGGCAGTAAACTCAATGACAAGACATTAAAATTTGATTCAAGATTTCTATTGGACAGGAATAGGTAAGATTCAGAATGGTAACTTATCCCAATTTAATCCTGTCAAACTGAAAATTCTGGAAAAGAAATTTACCAAAATCAAGATTAAAATTTTTGACAAATATACAGTTCTCAACCAGAATGATCTGAGAAGAAACAAGTACCTTCCTACTTCTTTCCCCACAAAATATCAGAAACATTTTTTGGAACTAATGTTCTATGGATTCTCAATGAAAAATTTTTAATTCTGGATTTCACATCCCAAAAACATTAGTCCTTCTTTTTCTTCTAAGAAACATATCCTCAATGAATTAGGAAGGCTATAGCACCTGCCAGTCCTGGCATGAGAGAAAATAAAATGTTTAAAATTTCATGCATTTCTGAAATTGTAAACAATTCTTATGAACCAAATATAATTCATATATTACTAATAAATATATTATAATACTGTACTCTTAATATTATATACCTTGCTATGTTAATTATTAATGGTACTTAGAATTTATTTAATAAAAATACTGACATCACAAACTAATGAATGAATAATAATATAGCTTTTATAGGTTAATATGTATATTAGTAGTCAGTACTCACCTTCAGTATTTGTCATTTTATTTTTGTGAGAAATCTCAATAGCTTCTTTATGAGCACCAAATAGAACCAGAGCTTGTGATGTGGCATTGTCTTTTAAAAAGAAAAGAAAAGAAATTCAGTAAGCAGTTAATATAAAAATTTTTAATGTGCAAAATAATGTATAAAACTATGTTGTAAAAGTGTTGTCCTCGAAAAAGCAACTGTAATTCAAATATGAACCAAAACTCACACGAGAATATCTTTAGATGTTTTCCCTATGTTCAATGGCTTACCTCTCACAAGAAGACAGTACAAAGAGAATGCAGCTATTAAAACCACAGAAACTGTCCAGAGTGACGTCACCAAAATGGTGGAGTAGGAGATCCCACCTCTGTCCCTCAACAACGATCAACAATTAGCTACAAAGAAAAATAGCTCCAGGAGAGCTCTCTCAGGAGTCCACTCAAGAGGTCCAACAATACAGTGGAACAAAAAACCCTGAGAATGACAGCACAAAAAGAGAAGTAAGATGGGTTCATTTTGCCTGCATCACCCCATCCCCCAGGCTGTCACTGCTCAGCTCCAAGGAATGCTGCAGCTCAAAATAGTTCCCCTCACTGGGAAAGAGAAAGCGCAGTAAGTGACCGACTTCCCCACCCTCTTGGGGCACTGCACAAAGGGCCCAATTCAGTTTCACCCACCCAGAGACCCGCTAAGCTAAGGTGTATAGAGATGGCTTGGAACAAGGAAGTATGGCAGAGGCTACCAATATGCAGAGGAAATGGTTACAGTTATCAGTGGTCTGCTCTGCAGAGGACCCCAGCAGCACAGCCAGCAAAGTTGTCCTTCATAAGTAAAAGACAGAGAAAGTGTTCCTAGACAAACGTGAGCTGAGGAAGTTCATCACCTGTACCTGCCTTAAAAGAAATGCTGAAAGGAGTTCCTCAAGCCAAACTGGAAGGACTCTGATCAGTAACATGAAAATATAAAACATACTGATAAAGGTAAGTATACAAATTCCTGGTACTCCAATACTATAACATGGTGGTGTATTAACCACTAAACTCTTGTATAAAGGTTCAAGGACAGACATATTAAAAATAGCTATGGCTGCAAAAATTATTAATGGATACACAAAATAAAAAGATGTCAACCATGACATGAGAAACATAAAATATTGAGGTGATGAATAAAAAAGGGTTGAGTTTTTGTATGTGATTGAAATTATCAGCTTCAAGTAGACTGTTATAACTATAACATATTTCATGTAATCCTCAAGATTACCAAAAACCTATAGTAGATACACACAAGAAAAAATGAAGGTAATCAGAGTATACCACTATGGAAAAGCAGCAATTTTTAAAAATAGATAGCAAGAAGGGAAGAAATGAACAATGGATGACCAAACAGTCAGCAAAATGAATTACTAAGCCCTTACCTATCATTAACCACTTTAAATGTAAATGGGTTAAGTTCTCCAAACAAAAGTCATAGAGTGGTTGCATGGACTTAAAAAAAGGGAGAGAGAGAGAGAGAAACCCAACTATTTTCTACTAAAAGAGATTTATTTCCATGTTAAGGACACATACATACTCAAAGCTGGAGGTATGGAAAAGATATTGCACACAAATGGAAACCAAGAGATCAGAGGTAGCTATGTTTAATATCTGGTAAAAAAAAAAAAAGCCCACTTATAATACCATAAAAAGAATAAAATAAATAAATTTAACCAAGAAAGTGAAAGACATACATCAGAAACTCTATGACACTGAGGAAAGAAATTGAAGAACATAAACAGATAATGCATGGAGCAGAAGTAAATTTTATTAAGATGTCTGCAATTCAACTCCTATCAAAATCCAATGGCACTTCTCATAGAAGTGAAAAAAAATCATATGGAACCACAAAAGATCCCATATAGCCAAAGCAATCTTGAGAAATAAGAAAAAAGCTGGAGGCATCATGGTTCCTTATTTCAAACTATATCCTAAACTGTAATAATCAAAACAGTATGGTACTGGCATAAAAACAGACATACAGCTCAATAGAGCAGAACAGAGAGCCTGGACATAAACCCATATACATATGACCAACAAATATTTGACAAGGGAGACAAGAATACTCAATAGGGAAAGACAGTCTTTTCATAAATTTGTTGGGAAAACTGAGTATTCACATGCAAAAGAATGAAAATATGGGCCTATATCTTCCACCCCTCACAAAATTAACTTGAAATGGATTAAGGGCTTAAATGTAACACCTAAAACCATAAAATTCCTGAAACAAAACACATGGAAAAGCTCACTGTACATTGGTCTTCTTTAGAATCTTTTCAATATGACACCAAAAGGACAACCAACTAAAACAAAGACCAACAAGTGGGACCATATTAAGCTAAAAAGGTACTGGAGAGCAAAAGACAATCAACATAATGAAAAGGCAACCTACAGAAGGGGAGAAAATATTTACAAGCCATCTATCTGATAAAAGGATAATATCCAAAATACATAAGGAAATCATACAACCCAAGAACATAAAAACAATGTGATTAACAAACAGCAAAGGACCTGTACAGACATTTTTCCAAAGACATACATGCAAATGACCAACAAATGCATGAAGTGGTGCTTAACATCACTAATCATCAGGGAAATGCAAATCAAAACCACAATGAGCTATCACCTCACACCTGTTAGCATGGCTGTTATCAAAAAGGTGAGGATGTGGAGAAAAGGAAACCCTTGTACACTGCTGGCATAAACATTTGGGATCCAGCAATACCGTTTCTGAGTGTATATCCAAAGGAAATGAAACCACTATCCCGTACAGATTCTTCACTATCCTATTCACTGCAGCTTATTCACAATAGCCTACACATATAAACAACCTAAATGTCAATCTACGGATGTGTGGGTGAAGAAACTGTGGTATATTTCAACCATAAGAGGAGGAAATCCTGCCATTTGTGACACCATGGATGGACCCCGAGGGCATAATGCTAAGTGAAGTAACTCAGAAAAACAAAAACTCTATTATCTCATTCATATGTGGTATCTAAAGAAACTGAACTCATAAGAGCAGAGAGCAGGGGCTGGAGGGTAGGGGAAAACAGATGTTGATCAAAGGGAAAAAACTTCTACTTACAAAAGAAAGTGTTGGGGATCTAATGTCTCAGCATGGTGACTATACCGTGGTGACAATCATGAGAAACAATACTGCCTTGCATACTCAAAAATTGCTATGAGGATAGATTATAACTGTTCTCACCATAACAGCAACAATAAAGCAATTATATGAAGTGAAGGATACTTTCAACAGCCTCTTTGTGGTAACCATTTCACAATATATACGCATATCAAAGCATCACACTGTACATGTTTAATTTACAAAATGCTGTATGTTAACTAAATCTCAATAAAGCTGGGAAGATTAGATGCAAAAAGAAAACAGATAAATCATTATATACTGATGTAGAAAGTAGTCCAGATACATTGTTCAGTGAAAAAGCAAGGCAAAGATTTCTATAAAAGTTTTGTCATCACCTTGTTTTTTAAGGAGATGTAGAGGTTGATAGACATTTATTTATAAATGCATATAAAATGTATAGAAAGTATTACTATAGAAAATACTATTAGGACTGGTTTCCTTTGGAAAGAGGGAATTTAGAGACAAGAGAAATTTTATATTTCATTTTACAATCTCTGAAGTGTTTAAAAATTCTCAAACATAAGAATATATTATCATTTGACATTTTCTTACAAAGTTTAATGTATCTACTCTACAATGTAGAAACCTCACTCTTAAGCTTTCACCCAAGATAAATCAAAGTGTAAGTCCACAAAAAGCTCTTCCAAGAAGACTGTGATAGCTTTAATTGTAACAACAGAAACTGAAAACAACCTAAATGTCCATCACCAGAAAAATTAACTTTAAAGAAATATTGTACAGTCATGCAATTGTGTAATGCTGAACAGTAAAAAAGAATGAACTACAAATACATGGAGTAACATTGTTGAATCTCAAAAATACACTGAGCAAAAATAATCAGAGAAAGCAGAAGGGATACTCTATAATTCCATTATTAGAAGGCACAAAAAAGAACAAAACTGTTGTGATAGATGGCAAAATAGTGGTAGCCTACAATGGTAAGAAACTTTCTCAGGTGATGAGAATATTTTCTATCTGAGAGTGGTGGTTCTATACTTACCACATACACATTTATCAAAATACATTAAATTATAAATTTAAAACATCAGTATTCCTTTACATATAATTATAAAATAGAAAATATATTGTTTAATGGCATTAAGTATTTTGATAGATCACACAGACATAAATAACATATTTCAATACTTGCAGAATATCTTATGATAAATATAACAATCACAGATTTTTTATTTAAATTCCAAACCCAACTAAAGAATAAAATGAGGAGAAAGTAAATTCATAGCAAAAATATGCAAAACATAAAACAAATGATCAGAAATTACTGAGAAAGCATAGATATAATACATGTGCCATCCAGATAACTATTATAATATATATGAATGATTTTAATCTAAGAATAACCAAACAAAAATTATACAGAAAAATATTTAAGTAAATTTCTTTTTCCCCTGAGTATGGAAACTCAGTGTGACCAAATTATGGAGGAATGTTTCCACATAGAACTGTGTGCAGAAATTGTCAGACTGATCCTAAAATTCACATGAAATGTAAGGGACCCAGGTTAGCCAAAAAAAATCTTGGAAAAGAACAAAATTGTACGTATCACACTTCCTGCTTTCAAAAATAACCACCAAAAGAACAACCAAAACATTTGTGATCAATGTATAAACAGTAAGTGGAATATTCAACACATGGAGTATTATTCACCCACCAAAAGTAATCTTCACAAAATTCTAGTTTAAAACCAAACACAAAGCCAACTATGGTTTGTGTGTTTGTTTTGGAGGTGGGGGGGGGCTTCATTTAAGTGTATTTTACCTATGCACCAGTTTGTGTGTGAGGAGTCCTGACTAAAGAGTCTTGACATAAGCTACTCCATTTTATAAGTGACTTTATTTTGTAAGATACAGGTCACATCAAGAGGAAGTGACAAGAGTTACAAAAATTTAACCAACACAGTTGCCAGGACTGGCCAGATGCTCCGTGCCAATAGAAAGAAGAGAACTTGCCCACCCAGCAGTCAAGAGTCAGTAAAGGTCAGGTCATATCTAGGCCCATTCTGAACATGGCCCGCTCTGCTCACCGTCCGTTCTGCGCACGGCCTGCTCTGCGCACGGTCCATTCTGTGCACGGCTTGTTCTGCGCATGGCCCACTCTGCACACCCCATTCCTGTGTATAAAAGAAGAATGAACTTGTACTTTGGGGTCTCCACCTGCTAGTATGAGACCCCAGCATGCTGGTTACCTAATAAACCCTCTTGCTTTTGCATCCATGCATCTCCTGGTGATTTGGAGGTCAACTGCATGGACCCAACATTTGGGGGATCATGGGATCACGGGATCATGCTCCCATAACCAGCGACCGTGTGGAGCATGCGGGTATGAGTGTGACTGCAGTTTTTGATTGCCTGTTTATGTGCTGTGTGTCCTTGTATTTGTGCCATTTATCAGTGGAAACCTGATCTGGGAGTCCGGGGACTAGGTGGAGGCACTATTTTTCCCCGCACCTTGGTGAGCACAGAGACGTCCCTCACTCACTTCTGTTTTTTGGACTTTTGTTTTTCAGTCTGGTGGGAGATGGGAGGTTGTTCCTTGATGGAGCCCTTTTAGGGGAGAGGCCGTCCCTCTTAGTCTGTTTCTTTTTGGAAAGAGGCACCCTAACATTGTGTTCTCTGTTTGTATACTCATATTTGCCTGTCTTGTCTTCTTGTTTTACTTCGGCATGGGCCAGTCACACTCTGCTCCTCTGTCTATCTTCATATCTTGCTTCAGTGACTTTCAAACCCAAGCTAAAAATCTTGGTCTTGCTGTCAAAAAGGGTAAACTTTCTATCTTTTGCAGGAGTGAATGGCCTAAGTTCAGAGTCAAGTGGCCTGAGAAGGGTATGTTTGACCTCCCCACCATTTTCAAGGTCAAGGACCTTGTATATGGACGTCCTGAGCACCGCGACCAGGTTCCTTACATCACCGCTTGGCAGACTCTAGTGGAAAGTCGACCTAAATGGCTAGCTCCCCTTCTTCCACCTTCAAAGGCGACCCTCATGGCCACTGCCTCCTCTAAAGCTCCAAGCTCCTCTAAGGCACCCTGCAAGTCGAATCCCAACTCAGTTCCTTCAGCCCCATCTCTTTATCCTGTCCTCCCCCTTCAGACCCCTCCTCAGAAGATCCATCCTTTCCCCACCCACTGCCATATGGACCCACTCCTCTCCCCAATCCTCCTGAACCTTCACCTATGGAAGAGGAACCTGATCCGGAGGACCCACCCATGTTGATTAGTGCTCCCCATACCCGCTCTCTAGACCGACGAGCTCCCAAGAACACCCCAGGCACAATGGCCCTACCTTTGCCGGCGGCAGGTCCACCAGGCCTCGATGGCCAACAGTTCTTAGTTCACTGGCCTTTCTCTACCAGTGACTTGTATAATTGGAAAATGCAGAACCCCCCTTCTCTGAGAAACCCAGTAAACTTATAGACTTGTTGGATTCAGTCCTTTTCACCCACCAGCCCACCTGGGATGACTGCCATCAGCTTTTACAAGTTCTCTTCACTACTGAAGAGAGAGAGAAAGTCCTCACTGAAGCCTGGAAACTAGTCCCAGGGGTTGATGGGAGACCAACCACAGATTTAGATTTTGTAAACATCAGATTCCCCTCGAGTAGCCCTGACTGGGACTTCAATACAGACGAAGGTAAGGAGAGGTTCACTGTCTACCGCCAGATTCTGATGGGGGGTCTCTGGGTGGTGGCATGATGTCCCACCAATTTGTCTAAAGTAAGTCAGGTGAAACAGGAGCCCACAGAACCTCCTGGAGCTTTCCTTGAGAGACTGCTGGAAGCCTACAGGACCTATACTCCCCTGGACCCAGAAGCTGCTGAAAACTGGTCAGTGGTAGGTTTGGCCTTTGTCAATCGGCCCCAGACATCAGGTGGAAGTTACAAAGATTAGAAGGTTTTGAGGGAAAAAGGCTAGCCGAACTTTTGGCAGTGGCTGAGAAAGTGTTCAATAACCGAGACACCCCAGAAAAGTGACAGACCCGTGGGTTGGCTAGGATTTTGTTCACTGATTCGTTAAAAGGTCCTGCCTGGAACTGAGAATTAAAAAGGCTGACTGAACAACAGGGCCCTCAAGATCCCAAAACCTCCCCCAAGGGCCAGAACCTGCTGCAGAAAGACCAGTGTGCCTACTGCAAAGAGAGAGGCCACTGGAAAAATGAATGCCCCAAGAGAGAAGCCAGGGAACAACCCAAGGTCCTCCAAATAGAAAGCTTAGATGACTGAGGGGGATGGGGTTTGGCCCCCCTCCCCAAGCCTTAGGTAACCTTGAATGTGGAGGGGAAGCCAGTGACTTTTATGGTCATCACTGGAGCAGAACATTTAATCCTTAAGAATTCCATGGGGCCCCTTTCTCCCAAACAGTCTGGGGTACAGGGAGCCACAGGATCTAACACATATTCATGGACTACCTGAAGACCCGTAGACCTAAAACTGGGACGGGTTTCCCACTCATTCACGGTTATCCCTGAGTGCCCCTACCCACTTCTGGGGAGAGATTTGCTATCCAAGGTGGGAGCCCACATCCACTTTGAGGGCGACTCAGTTTCCATAAATGACCAGAGCGGAGCCCCCATCAGCATTCTTACCTTATCACTTAATGATGAATATAGACTTTACACCAGCCCGAAAAGAGAAAAAGACAACTATGAGCTCCTCCATAAGTGGCCAAAAGAGATCCCAGAAGTATGGGCCGTGATGATGGGAGGCATCGGATGGGCAAAGCACTGGGCACCAATAGTGGTCCAACTAAAGGCCACTGCCATCCCTGTCTGTGTGCAGCAGTACCCGATCCCCCAAGAAGCAAAGCTTACCGCTAGCCGCCTCGAGTCAACCACTGTTTGCTTTTGAATGGAGAGATCCGGAGGACAGAATGAATGGTCACCTAACGTAGACCAGGTTGCCTCAGGGATTCAAGAACTCACTGACCGTCTTCGACGAGGCCCTCCATGAAGATCTGAGCGAGTACCGGCATTTCCACCCAGAGGTGAGCCTGCTTCAATATGTAGATGATTTACTAATAGGTGCCCAGACAGAAACAGAATGTCAGGCAGCCACTAAAGATTTACTTATGACACTGGGAAAACAAGGGTACCGAGCAGCTGCTAAAAAAGCTCAATTCTGTTTAGAAGAAGTTACCTACTTGGGATACAAACTCAAGGGGGAACGCCAATGGCTATGCCAGGCCAGAAAAGAGACTATTTTTTAGCTACCAAGGCCAGACTGTAGACGGGCTGTCAGAGAGTTCTTGGGGACAGTGGGGTTCTGCCGCCTCTGGATTCCTGGCTTCGCCAAACTAGGTAGATACCTTTTCCGGATGGGTAGAAGCCTTTTCAACCAAAAGAGAAACTGCTGTAGTAGTTGCCAAGAAATTCCTGGAAGACATTTTTCCAAGGTATGGCCTTCCCCCTTTTATTGGGTCAGACAATGGACCAGCTTTTGTCTCTCAGGTAACACAAGGGCTGAGCCATATATTGGGGACTAATTGGAAGCTACACTGTGCATATCATCCCCAAAGCTCAGGTCAAGTAGAAAGGATGAATCGGACCATTAAGGAGATTTTAACCAAATTAACCCTAGAAACTGGCGGTGACTGGGTGACTCTCCTCCCCTTTGTTCTGTTCAGGGTCAGGAACACTCCCTATAGATTGGGCATGACCCCGTTTGAAATCCTGTTTGGCAGGCCTCCCCCCATCCTTCCCAATTTGCCAGCTGATCTGTTAGCTGAGCAAAATGATAAAAATTTTCTTTCCTCCCTACAAGCTTTGTTTCAGGTCCAAGAAGCCTTTTCAGTTGGTCCCCATGGCTAACAACTTTATTATCAGCAGTAGCAGGTCCCCTCTTACTTCTGATACTGGCTCTCAGATGTGGCCCCTGCCTTATCAATTCCCTCCTCAAATTTGTACAGAAAAGGATCTCCACCATCCAACTCATGGTCCTAAGATCTCAGTACAGGCCCTTGAGTAAGGAAGACCCTATTCCGTTGCTTCAAAGATTTGAATAGAACAAAACTCAAGGGGGGAATGAGGAGTCCTGACTAAAAAGTGTTGATATAAGCTACTCCATTTTATAAGTGACTGTATTTTGTAAGAGACAGGTCACATCAAGAGGAAGTGACAAGAGTTACAAAAATTTAACCAACACAGTTGCCAGGACTGGCCAGATGCTCCCAGCCAACAGAAAGAAGACAACTCGCACACCCGGCAGTCAAGAGTCAGTAAAGGTCAGGTCAGATCTAGGAACATTCTGCGCACGGCCCATTCTGCACACGACCCCATTCCTGTGTATAAAAGAAGAATGAACTTGTACTTTGCGAGTGTGAGACCCCAGCATGCTGGCTACCCAATAAACCCTCTTGCTTTTGCATCCACGCGTCTCAACGGTGATTTGGAGGTCGATTGCACGGAACCAACAGTTTGTACCTGGAATCCCACATGCGGTCCCCGCGCCTCCTGCCCCAGCAGCCCGTGCATCTGAGGCGCGCCTGCCACCTCAGGAGCCGCGAGGGCCGAGGATGCGCGGAGCAGCGGTGGGGCAGGAGCGCATGCGCGGCCGCCGCGGGGACTGGGGGATGCTGCCCGGAGGTTGTGCGGGATCTGTGGCTCAGGTGGCCAGGCGGCTTCCGAGGCCAAACCCGCGTGGGGAGGCCTGGCGGCCGCGCGGGCCCTCAAAGCAGAACAAGCCAAAAGACTTGTCGAGGGGCGACGTGGTCCTGCTGCCCTTCAGCACCCCGCACGGGCTCTCGCGGGCGGTGGCGTCCCAGAAGGCTGGTAGGTGGGCTGCACACGGCGCCTGCCCGGAGCGTCACGCCGCCAGCCTCGGAGCGCTCGCACCATGTGCTCCCGTGGCGCAGGGTACGTCACGCCGTCGCCGACTCCGCGCCGCAGCGCCACCTGGGGGCATTAGTGGCGCCGCCGCGTTCCCGACCGCCTGCGCTCGGCCTGGCCCTGCGGAGGGCGCTTCTTCTGGGGCGGCCGTCGGACCTGTCGGGGCTGCGGAGGGCCGAGCACGTCTGACTCGCGGTGGAGGTGGCTGCGGGGCGGACGTCCGCGGAGGCAGGCGGGCCCTCCTGCAGGGCCACAGGCGTTTACGGAGGCGGCTCCCAGCGCCGGCCGTTCCCGCGCCCACCGGCTCCGGGGCGCTGGCCAGGCTCCTTCGCGGACGGCCTCGCCTGCCCTGCCCTCCCGGGAGCCCCTCGCAGGGGCCTGCGGCACGGACGGCGGTGCTGACGCCCGGCGCACAGGCACTGAGGTGCGCCGGGGCCCTCAAGCACAGCGCTGCCGTGGCGCTGGGTGGGCCGTGCCCGGAGCAAACCCCGCTCCGGGGCGGCCCTTGGACGATCCAGTTCCTTCTGTTTTGTCAGGGCGAGGGCATAGCTTTGATTAAAAGAGAAGAAAGCCTGAAAATTAGTGATACAAGCATCCAAATTAAGAATATGTGGGAAAACAAACCAAAGAGAGTAGACGGACTGGAAGGGGGTGATACCTGAAATTGATACAGTAGAAAACAAACCAACGAAAAACCCTACAGATAATTTAGAATTTTGGGAAATCACTACTATGAAAACTCAGCGCAAGTGAACAGATCTGGCAAAATTAATCAAGACTGAGAAGAAGAAACGAAAGAATCTAATACAATATTTTGAATATGAAGGTGTAATTGCATATAGAGAGAAATAAAGTGTACCAGTACACTTGTTTAGCCAAGTGAACAAAGTTTTAAAAGGAAAAATTATATCTTGCCAATAGTGAGTAAGGAGTAAATAGCCTAAATAATACTATAAATAGTAAAGAATCAATAGTTTAATATCTCCCTAAAAACTAAGACTTAATTAAGTTCAACCAAACTTTCAGAAAAAATAATAAAAATATTACATTATTTTTTTCAGAGAATAGAAAATGAAGAAACATATACCAATCCGACAGTGTGTTTATTAACACCTTACTACCACAACCAGACAAGAATAACGTAAGAAAATTTAGGGGCCAATGTTGCTCAAGAGCAGAGATGCAAAAATCCTAAACAAATGACTCTCAAGCCAAATCCAGCAACATATTAAAACAAGTTAAATTTGTTTCAGAAATGAAACATTTTAACAGTTGACAATCCATTTATGCAACTCAGTAAATTTAAAGATGAAGAAAAATTTAATCACAGAAAAATTTCAACTGACAAAACATGCACAAAATTCAATATACATTCACTATAGTAAATTATAAAAAATGGTCTCTAAAAAAGCCATCATATTTAATAGTGAAACATTAAAAGTCTCATTTTAAAAAATTGGAACTTGGAAGGTGAGTGTGCACATTTGTATTGCTTCCATTTAATAGAGAACTAACGGGTCTAGCAGCAATTTTAAGAGAGAAAGGTGATGAACTTATAATGAGAAAGAGTAAAAAATTAAAACTTATTTGGATGATCTAACCAATATTAGCGAATTAGTATTGAAATTAAATATAAAAACTGTATATATAATAGCATATTCATTATAATATTCATATATTAAACTAAAGATGATTTGGGAGAAGAGAACACTATTAATGTGAGATATGAGTGCACAGATACCCAATTTTGTCAGTATTCTTTATACTTTACATATATGTGACTTTTTTACAAGTATGAAGTATTTTCTACTTCAACAAAGACACTTTAAAATACTTTCTGCCTGTTGCATGGAAAAGATACATTATGAAAAACAATACATAGAAAAACTAATGCAATATTAGTGTCTTAATACAAATAGCACTGCTATGAAATGCAGTTTTGGCTTTAGTGAAAATAGTGCCTGAAAATCAAAACATTATGCATAGCAAGGTTGTAAAAACACATTAATTGTAATATTACTATACCAGAGCTAACCATTTGTAAATATGAGTCATCTAAAAATATCATTGATCAGCATGTTTAAGATACATCTGTGACTGTTCAGAACAACTTGGAAGAGTTTAAAAACATTATTTATTTCAGCTGAGAGCACAAGCCAATCATCCAGTGCTATGTGATCTATAGTATAATAAGCATTGTGATACGACCACAGTAGTTTCATGATGATTGACATAGCATAAGGAAAGGATTTCCTTCTTACGTTAAGAAAAGTATTGCTATGTTGAATATCATCTGGTAGAAATTAATAAAAAAGACCTCTGTGTTCTTGTGATGTTAATGAAAGAGTTACTGACAAACATTTAAAAAGGTTGGTACGTAATTAAGTTCACTACATCATCCAGCAAAGATTGCTTTGGGCTTTAAAGTTTAAAATCTGCCAAAACAAAGTAATAACACTGATGTCTATTAAATTCCTGTAGTTTGAACATAGACATCTGAAAGCTTTGCTTGATAAACTGAATGTTCTCTTTAGTGGTTTACATAGAGGATAGAGAGCTTAATGACAGTATGATGCCAGACAGGTAGGAATTAATTTTAACTCATAATCACTATTTATGCTGGCATTACAGATACTGGTTCCAATATCATTGAAACACAAATATTCTAAACTTACAAATGAAGCACACTCCAAAAAACAATTTATTAACCATATAACTTTCCAAAGAGTTAGCCAACCAGACATATTTCCATTTCATATGCATTTAGAAAAATAATCTATATCATAGGACACTTAACATTCCATTAAATAATGTGGGTATAGTTTTATCTGACTCGCATGGATTGAAGGCAAGTTGCCTGTCACGTTTAATATGACTAACTTTCTCTTCATGCACCCCACACAAGAGCTTTTGCTTACAGATGAGTGTAGGCTGGTCACTTTCTATTCCAATACAAAATAAATAGACTTCGTCACAGTCAAAGGGGAATCACCAGCTCAACTCCCAAAGTCTTAGAATAAACTATTAGTTTTTAATTAACATAATCCAAAAACTTTAAAAAGTTCAAGTATGTGTCTATGAAGTACAGTGAAGTGCAATGAATGAGGTATGCCTGCATTTAAAGGAGATATGTACAAGAATTTGATTATCCTCTCTTTCCAAATTATATCTTTGGGAAAATTGTTTTAAGTAAATAACGTGGTCCATTTTGCTAATCTGAGATTGTAGTCTGTTTCCAGAAATGAAAAACTTTTGTTTAAACTTCACTACACAAACTGTGACAATGAAATAACACTTCTTGCAGTGAATATTGGTAGAGTAGATTGAGGTAAAAACCAAAGTTATTGAAATCTTCTGAAAGTCAATGTAGTGATGAGTACCAAAATCCTACCCAAGATTCAAAGTCCTACATGAAATCCATCCTCAACCATGCTTGGGACCACTAAATGACTCCTTTCTTTTATAACCCCAAATAAAACTATGGTAATTGGATTGTAATAATAGTCCCAATAATTTTCTCCTTCCAGTGTTCACCTTCCTTTACAACGTGACTTCACAACATCTACCATCAAGAGGTAGAGTCTAATCCTGTTGCCCCTGGACTCGGCTGGCCTTGTGACTTGCTTTGGCCAATAAAATGTAGCAGAAATTATCATGTGCCACTTATGAGCCTGGGCCTCAAGAGGCCTTGTGAGCTTCTGTGCCCCCTCTCAAGCCATGAGATCAAGGTTTCTGGAGAAGTAAGAGAGATAGCATGGTTCTCCCACTTTTCCCAGCCAGGGCCCCAGCCAGACCTGTGACAGGGCACCCCAGGTGAGCAAGGTCTGCAACAGCGCTTAGCTGTGGCTCATTGCACATGCATGAGTGGGCTGTCCAGAGCCCACCTGAGATCAGCAGGACCACCCTGCAGACTCATGCACAGGTGAGCTGGAATGAATGTCCCCGTGCCGTATGCTCACTGGTACACAGCACCGGTGTGACACGTGTAACAGGTAGGAGACAGCTTATTCTCAGTGGAAGTACCTAAGGCAAACATTCTGAGGATTAGCACACTTTTTCTGTAAGGGGCCAGGTCATAAAAATTTTAGGTGTAACGGACCACACGCAACAGAGGTTGCATGATCCTCTTTGTTGTTTCTTTTACAACCCTTTACAAAGGTAAAACTATTGTTAGCATTTGGGCTCTACAGAAAGGGCTACTGGCTGGATTTGGCCCGTGGGCTGTAATTTGCTGACCTCTGTTCTATATCTGCAAAGACATGATACTGCTAACATAATGCAGAATAAAAGATGTCAGGTCTTGGGGGCAAAGTTCAGGAGTAATTATAAAAGAAAGATTATAATCCAGACAGTGGCTTTTCCTTAAACTAACTCTTTTCCCTTACCTCACCTTCCTGGTCCCTGTAATTTCTAGTTTTCTGACCCCTGGTCCTGAAGAAGATGACTGTCTTCTGTGAGTGACTTGAATTGTTTTACCTATGACCTAATTTCAAAGAAAATGACGAGGATAAGCTTACCTTTCTTGGTTTGGTCACTTCCAGTGGGAGAACAGGAAACTGTCTTATTTTCAGGCATGGTTATTTACAGTATTTTGAGACCTAATTAAAAGAAAAAAATTTAAGTATCATAAATCAAAATTAGTTTCAATTTCATTAAAAATTGTCAATTTGAGAACTGATAGTGTCAGGATAAGTTTCTAATATCATACAATATAGATATGTAAATGTCAATTCTAAATGATATTAAAAATGTAAGGAAATCCAACAATATACTCTTTTTTCCTATAAGGACTACTATGATTCTATTTTAGGAACACCAAATACAAAAATCCCCATAGAAGAGGGATCTTAGATCCCCTGCTTGCTAGTAATTTACAAAGACACCTGGCCTGACTTTGAGATGATTTAACATTTGTCAACTCTGGGCTCAAAGCCCTGTGGAGATTCTGGAGCCTACTATGTTTAATTTAATATGATAAAGTTAAACCTTATTATGATCTCTTTTTTACTTTTCCTCAGTTCCTTTTTTAAACATTTTATTATGAAGAAAGTCAAATATATACAAAGGTAGGGAGAAAGTGAAGTGGACCTCTATGTGTCCATTAAACAAATTACTACCTTGTGGCCAATCAGAATTTTATACACCCACCCACTGCCCTGTCTGACTTAACCCTTGATCATGTTTAAGCAAATCTCAGATGTCATAATCTGGCGTTTGTAAATATTTCAGTAATTTTTAAGCATAGCCATAGTAACATTATAATTAAGACAATTTTACTTTCTTAATATCATTATAAACATACTATCAGTATTCACATTTCTTTCATTGTCTCATTTTTTCCTGTTTTTAAAACTTTTTGGAGTAAATACACAAACAAGCATAGCATTGAACTGAAATATACATTATGTAGTGTGTACATAAAATCTCTTTTAATCTGAAAGTTCTCCCTCCTTTTTTTCTCTGCAATATATCTATGTAGAAATCAAATATTTTGTCCTATAGAGTATTCCACATTACTGACAACCTCCCTGTATTATATTTAATAAGATCCTCTGTCCTCTATATTTCCTGTAAATTGTATTTATGAGAAATTTAAACTACTGAATCAAAAGGCAGCAATTCTATATGAGAATAGCTGCATTTTAATTTGTAGAGTTTAGAAATTAGAAATCTGGTTCAGATTTTTATTTTATAAATCAGAAAATCCTTAATGAAATTAGTAAATTAATTCAGACTAAAGAGACTAATTAGGGAAGAGCATTATTAAAGCAAACCCTGAATCCACATCCTATGCTCTTTCAAATAAACTAATATACTCATCAAGACCAACTATTAAAGGAAAGGAAGCTAAAGAAAAGTGCATAATTACATTTTACTTCACATAAACATTTAAATTTTTTTAATTCAATGAAGATTGTTGTTAAAACATATAATCTATATTTCCTCTTCTATATTTTGCAAAATGACTATAAAAATAAGAAAATTGTTCCAGTAATGGAACAATTTAAAGTAAATAAGTTTTTGTAAAAAATCTGGTTAAAACATATTTTTAAAGTCTTCATAAAAGCATCTGAGAACTAATAAGGTAATAATGGATACTTGGCTTAAGATCTAGTAGACAACAAAGAGGTGAGCCAGCACATAAGGCCACTTTTCCCCAGGGCACAACCTGGCCTGGGAGAGGCAGCTGGGAGGCCGGCCGTACCTAGATAGCCACACAAAACTCGGGAAACAAAGGCTGGAATCTTAAGTACCCAGTGTAGGAGCCCTGGGAAAGCAACCCATTTGGATGAGTGAGAACCCCAGATGCCCATGGATTGAGGAACAGAATGAAACAAAGTCCATATGAAGACTTCTGATAGACTGAAGCCCAGGCTCAGATCATCTGGGTGACTCAGAATTTCAGGTGGTGGAAGTGAATGGAGGTGCTTCTTGCCCAGCACAAAGTCAAAGAAACTCCACACACACACACACACAGCCTGGGTATCAAATCTACAGAGAAGAAATGGTAACAAACTGAACCAAAGGTACATCAGATAGTGAAATGCTAGATACAAACCACCCAACAGCCATGCTTAATATGTTTATAAATGTAACACTGAATTCTAAATTTTCAGAAATAAAAATTTTGAAAATGATGAAATGTGAAAATTAGAATTATGAAAAATGATCAAAATTGCAGATTTGAAACAAAGTTAGAAATCCATGAACTGCAAATGGCTTTAACAGCAGTTCTAAACCTATTGGTTTGATATAAAAGCAGGTATAAAAAGGCTGAGGAAAGAATTAAAGAAGTAAGTTCAGGAAAAACTATCCTGAAAATGAAGCATGCAGTGATAAAAAAAATGGAAAATAAAGAAGCAGTGGCTAATGTCTGCTACATTGGACAGCACAGATCTATCACAATGCCTGGCACACTAGAGAGGTTCAGTAAGGTCTTGTTGAAATTGAAGGGATGCATGAACGCACACAAGAATGCAATCAGTTTGTCATCCTACAGATTTGGCTTGGGGCCACTGCCTCCCCTATTCACTATACAAGCTCTCCGGCATTGGTTCTATTACTGAGTTTTCTGTTAGAATTTTTACTTGTTTCCTTACCTGAATAGCACATTATACATAGAACTCGTTTTGTTTCACCACTTTAGGCTGGCATCTCAGCTAATCGCTGTTCCTCAAATTTTGTTTGCTTCCTCATTACTAAAATAAAATTTCTGAGCAATCTATCTTTCTGGACAGAATACCCTCCCAATTTAGCCATTTCCTCTCATAATTTTATTTGTAATTGTTTTAAATATTCTTACTGTGAAATATTTCACAGCACTATTAAAAAAAAAACACCCTGTGTCCTACAGTGGAGCGTAAGAAACACATAAGATCAACAAGAACATTCAAATTCCAGTGTGTTCTCCAGGGGTCACAGGTCCCTTCTCTCCTCCCCAGATACTACAACCTTCAAAAATATAATCCCCATGGTTTCAGTTTATTTTTATTACATATGTATCTCATGGAAATATACTGTAGTATTGGCTTAGAGTTTTACAGCTTTATAAGAACAATATTATATGCTGCAAGTCATTCTGCAGCTTTTTTGTTGCACACTGAGATTTAACCATGTTTTTACACATAGCAGTACTTTATTCTTTTTCATTGCTATATAGAATCCCATTGTGTTAGTGTACTATTCTCCTATTGATGAACATTTCAGTGGTTTCAAATATTTTCCCTATTGAAAACTAAGTCTGCTATAAGGATTCTTACACACTTTCCCCAGAGTATCTCTAATACACATGGGAAAGTACATTCTGTGTTGTGGTGTTTTGTTTAATCTTTAGCAGTTTTAAATAAAGTCCTTTGTTGTTAACATATATTACAAAGATCTTCTCACAGTTTATTCCAGTGTTTTTATCTTAAAAATAAATATTTTTAATGAAAACAAGTATATAAATCAGTTTGGGTCACCCACTCTCCAAAACCACAAACAATATCAGTAGTTAGACCTAGAAACCAATCCCCACCCACAAAAAGCCTTAAAGTCAAAGATAGTACTTCCGTTCTACTAAAACCTAATTTATCTATATTTTTTTCTTTGTAAAATACTGTTTCTTGTTATCCATGTTATCTTAATGGCTTTGATAAAGCAATGAAATTAATATGGTACTTTCTTGTTCTTTCACATTCTCATGAAAATATTAAGAACTTTAGTCTGTCTTAAATTATCTCAGTAGACATGATTCCCTCACACATTCCAGTAAATGATGCAAACATACTGATAATTCTTCCAGTAATTATGAAAAACATATTTTTTTGTTTTTACTGTTTTTTTCTATAGCTCATCTGTTTAAATAAAATTAAATGTGCTCAATAATAGAAGTCTACATTCTTTTTACAAAGAAAATTTTAAAAAGTGACAGTGGTAACTACTTCATAAACTGTTGGAATATTCAAAAAATACTTTTTTTTAACTTTTCACCCCGTAATATAGCTGAGACTTTAAACTCATTTAAAACTATGGTTCAAATGAGAATTATGTCAATATTCTGTATAACTATATAGCTTCTAACTCCTTACCTGGGTTAAACATAGGCAAAAAGGAACATGGAATACAAATGCAACCATTAAGGCAGCAAACAGGAATCCAAGTCAGAGTTCTGGCCAAGGTCAGCAGTCAGAGACCTGGCTCTGTATTGAGCAGAGGGACCACCAACCACTATCAGTCTAAAATGTCTAAAACAGATTGCCAATTATATTTATTTTTCTATAGTTACAGAGAGAAACAGCTTAAGCAAAAAAAGAAAAACCTACAACACAAAGGAGTATAGAAAAGATACTGGTTAATTAATGAGAAATGCAAGCGTCCATCCACGAAAGGAGCAGGAACGCAGGGAGTCAGATGCCATGAGCATTCCCTCGGCATCAGCCTCAGACTGCAGTCATTCTAGTTTACATTCGACAACTTGACTTCTGTGTTTCAGAGGTCTCAGTTGCTGACACCTCCTGAGCTTTATATTGTAGAGCTTCAGTCACCAAAGAGATGCTGACTTTCTCAGATCTGATTCCAGTTATCCCTGGGTGGATTTTCATTAGCCTTCCTTGAACCAAGTGCCTGTGTCTGACCCAGTCAGCTGTTGTTGGGAAACCAGGATACTATTGTGTCTGCCTGTGTCTGCTGTCCATTTCCAGCCACAGTTATGGTCAGAGTGAGGCTTTTAGCATAGCTGGCCTGACTGTGATGGGAGATGTGGGGCTTGGGGAGAAAATATGGAAATAAGTCTAAGCAGACACTCCTAGAGGCTCTATTCCAAAAACGGCAGGCAGACTAACAGATGGTGGTTCTACACCATGAGGACAACTATTTTGGCAATCATACAGGGCTGTTTGTGACAATTCGAGTTTTTCCAATAGTGAACAAAAAAGCTGTATGGTGAGACAGAAAGATTTCACAACTAAAAGTGTTTGAGGAGAATTCTTAAAATCATTAAGTATTGTATAGGAAGGATTTGGAGGATGTCTAAGAGACTAGACTGTTACCTTCTAAGGCCCACTTCACTTTAGTATTTAATAACACTTGACTTATTTCATTTCAGCCATTCAGTGAT